CTGTAACATTTTATGAATCCAGACTAAACCTAGAAAATGTGCACGCTTGTAAAAAAAAAAAATCATAAACCAAAACCACTCACTTGCTTAGGCTTAGTTGTTTTTTGTTGTTGTTTAGGTTGAACAGTTTTCCATCCATTTTGTTTTAACTGTTCTAACTCGGTAAACATGTTATTGACATCATTTACTTGAAGCATAACCATATCCCAGAATCCTTCCAAATCAGTTGCCGTGGTGATGAGTTCCGAGCTTGGATTCTGCAAAAAAAAATACATGATTATATTCACAAACATTTTAAAATCAAAGAGAGCTTAGCAAAAACTCCTCAAATGAAAATTTAAGATTAGCTTTTTCAAACAAGAACCTTTTCAAGAAGAAGTCGAAAAAGTAAAACATTGACACGGACGACGGACAATCACTCGTATGATAAGCTGCACTAAAAAAATATGGTATTACCATATTAGTCCGAACATACTAAACCGCCCTGCGTACTTGGCTCAAAAAATCATGTATTTTAGAAGGGTGGGCGCTTACCTATGTTAATAAATCTCAATCGATACATTTGATTTTTCTACTGATTTGTACTCTCCAATGCAGTGTGCCCTCTAAGCCTTATACAATTTTTATTTATTTTTTTTAAGAATGAAGTCAAGAAGTCGAATCAATTTAATCTCAGGAAATTCCACATTTTGACTTGGGTATGCAGATATCAGTGATGATCACCAGAGTAGCATACAAAACTATGGTGGTAATTACAAGGGTCTGCTGATGGTAACTTATAATAAAATATCATGGAATTATAAATAAATATGCGAAGAAAGAAAGAGTGATGGAAATTTGTAAAGTTGACAACGATGTGAAAGATAATAAAAAAATCAGACTCACGATATTCTGTTGGCATAATCCTCTGAACTGTTTGAATTTCTTGGTCGTCAAGAGTTGAGCTTTACCGATTGCAGCACGAACTTTACCACAAACTGCAAAAAAAAAAGAAAAAAACTTGATGGTCATTTCCATGTAGCATGTTTCAAAAACTGCCAGAAAATAAAACTATACTAGAAACCATTTTAGTGTTGCAGGATAATTTTGGGAGAATACTGTTTATTTCTTATGAAATGATGCTTTAAGACAAATTCCTATGGCAATAGAAACGACCCATTTTAGCATGTTTTTTTTTGGAGAAAAAAAAAAACGTTCTGTACTTGGTAAAAAAATCCTAAATCCCAATGAATGAATGAATGATGTCTGAAGTCAATAATTATGTAAAACTTGTATATCAAATTAATGTGATATTCTTTTGACCTTATTTAATCAAATGAATACATACAAACGACCTTAAACTCTCACTTTTTCCCAGCAAGGTCACTTTTGTCACCTTTCCTAAAATACACCTGAATATTGTAGTCCAACAACTGTCATGTTTTTATGTTAGCATAGAGGGTCCTAGAGCTATTTGAATATTGAGTCTCCCTAGGTTGACTACTCTTTAGACCAAAAAATTCAAGAACAAGTGTTAGAAACTGTCATGTCTTTTTATGTAAGCATAGAGGGTCCTAGAGCTATTTGAATGATATAACTCCCTAGGTTGACTACTCTTTAGGCCAAAACAAATCAAGAACAACCTTTAAAAACTGTCGTGTCTTTTTATGCAAGCATAGAGGGTCCTAGAGCTATTTGAATATTGAGACTCCTTAGGTTGACCACAAAAAATCAAGTTGATTCAGCTTGTTGGCTATGGTTTATTTTCACTGCTTTGTTGATGGGTTCCATGTAAAATATAGAAAAAAGGGAATTTATGCTGAATTTTATTTCACTGAATCACTCCTTCAGCAAAAATAGTGAAAATAAATTCCAAGTTAAGTAATTTACAGTAGATGTGAGTGATGCAGGAATATTCATTTGGTTTTGAAATGTACAGGTTAGTGAAATAAACAATTAATAACCCGGAATATTCACTGGATCTTAATTTATCATATTTACATATCAGCGAAATAAGCGAGAATAAGCTCCAACCAATATATACAAATGTTACAACAGTATGTTGTTTGAGGGCGCTGTTTACCCACCTTCTTCACCGAGTTCCTTCCCCTTCATGTAATCATCTGCAATTTTACACAGTTTGTTAATTCGTTCTTCCTCTTCTCCAACGACACGTAAAAAGTAATGTCCACCTTTTTCATCGGTTTTGACTGTGGGAATCCTTGCACTGTCCACCTCATCTACGCCATTTTCCACCCTCGGCATAATATTGTCCTTCTGCATGACTTCTTCGTTTTTAATAACATCTTCCAATGCTAAAGGCTTAAGAACGGGTATTATCTCATGGCTCTTCCGTGGAGAGAGGGACTCCCGTTTCATTGTAGCATTCCCCTTTTGCGGTAATGGCGGTTTGGTTTTAGTACTGTCACTGACGTTTGGCGGACTTCTTCGAACTCTTGGTTTTGTTTCGGGTAATCGAGGCGGAGTCTTCCTTGGACTCAAGTTGTCTGGTTTGACAGGAATCGGTGGTGGTGAACGACGCTTAACAGTTTTTTGCATGTGAGTTTTTGGAGGAGAATATTTAAGCGTTGTTGCTGGTTTCTCAGGTTTTTGATTTAACACTGGTGCAGATCTTGTCGCACCAGTAGAGTTTCGATGACTCGTTGATTCAGATTTCGTAGATGCTGAACGTCTTGGACTTGTCGTCACATCAATTCTAGCTGACGAGGGCGGTGTCATCCTTGATGTAGAACGGGTACTGTCAACTCTAACTGGAGTCGGTGGGAGAGATCTCCTTGCAGTTCTTTCACGTTCCTGTTTTGGAGTTTTCTTAACAGCGCCCATATTAGGCTTTGTAGAATGTGTCACAATTGATTTATCATTTGTTGCCATGGTCCCCCCGAAAAGCATGGCTTTCCTCTCGGCCACAATAGACTTCCTTTTCTCTGATGTTTTACGAACGATACGGTCTTCTTCAGGATGAGACCCGCTCTTGGGTGAAAAGGCATCAGGTTTAGCCACAGGCGGTTCTACAACCTTGCATTCCCAAACTGCACGGCGTTGTCGTACACTTGCAGGCTTTTCGTTATTCTGCCCACTGACCTGCCGTAACAAAGTATGCGGTCCGACACTACGACTACGTACGGTGGAAGCAGACAAAGCTTTACGAGCAGATGCAACAGGTGGGGACATGCTGCCTGTACGTGCATGCTTCTCCTGATTTGCGCTACGCACACGACTTTCTCGTATGCTACTTTTTGTTTGCTGCGTTGGCGAACTTTTTCTGTTGGCAGATTTAACATGGTTTTCGCGGTTTTTCGGTTCTAAAGTAATCTCCACCAATGTGGTAAACTTTCCTGACTTACGCTGGGATGCCGGTGATGAGCTCCCTAATGAATTTCTACTTCCAGTCCTTGTAAGTCCGGCTTTGTTCACAGATTGGCGACCGCCGTCATTGGAATTTTTTCTTGCTCTCACAGTGCCGTTTGTTGTTGACCTTTTCACCTCCTCATACACTTTCCTACTGTTGGTAGGGCTGCCATTAAAGCGTGCATTATGGGAAATGTCCGCCACTTTCTTCTCTTTCGGTTTTACAACAATAACTGGTTTCCCATCACTCACATGTTTTACAGATTTTGACGATTTTACATCATTTACAGAATTGCACTCGCGTGGTGCCACGTGATCAACAGACGCACCTAACACCGTAATAGGGCCGTTCGTGACAATCTGAGAACAGTCTGACTCATCATCAACAGTTTCAACATCCGATTCGTCAGCATATTTAAAGTTCCATCGATCTTCAAGACTCTGCTTCTCGGCAACGTTCTCCTCGTAATACTTATCAGCATCGTACGTCAACCGCCATATTTTATCCACATTATTCTCCTGATATCTATCACTATACATAAGTTTCCAATCCTTCTCCGTCAGTCGTTCCATTCGATACTTATCCGCCATAATATTGTTCATATGCTCCTGACGCCGAAACTCCTCTGCTAAGTGTGCATTGTATTCGGCAATACTCACAAAGTCCTCCCCAAGAAGTTCTTTCGGTGATTTTAGTTCATCGTCATGGCAATAAATTAACTTGTTATTATTATCTTTAGGAGACGTATTCCCATCTATTACGTCTTCTACTGGAGAGTGGTCATTGTCTTCCATTATGTAAAGTTACTCATCTGTTAAAAAGTAAAATATAGAAAAAAAAATTAGCAACAAAATTAATGACACTACGACCTTTTGTCAATATACACAAAATTTAAGCTTAATAATATTCAAACAATTTTTCAGACCAATCGAAAATTATGTCTAAAATTAATAAAAAAAATATATAAAAATTTGCAATTTTGTACAAAAGCAGGAAATAAATTTGTCAGAAAATTTTATGAAGTTATTGCAACAATGACATCAACATATAAGTGGTGTAACCTTAAGACGACCAGTGGTGTGAACTTGGTAAGCCAGGGGAGGGGACTACAATCATGTACACAGTACAGTCTGAGAATAATTTACAATGCCAACTAAAGGATAGATGCTACATTAAAGGGCGGTGGTCGTCCCGCCGTGCCCTGTTCGATATAGGACTCAGCGACGTATACAACGTGTGTAAAATACATTGTTTATTTACATGAATTTCGAACATGCTGCGCGGCGACCACCGCGCTTTAAGCTACAACTGTAAGGTAGGCATGCATGTAAAGAAAATTCAATTGGTTGGAGTCACTATCAAGACTACAGTAGAGTTCATAAGAAAAATCACACTGTACTCTAAAGCAGACACAGCAGCAATGCTTTCAGTCACACACACTCACTTGGCAATGTTTTCGGTCTGAGACACTCAGTTGACAAATTTTTTTGGCCACATACACTCACTTGGCAATGTTTTCGGTCTGAGACACTCGGAACAAAGAACAACCACAGATATATCACCAATAACAGTGACCTGATTGCACATTCTGTAACACCACGACCCATCAACCCAAAATAAGGCGCCAACAGAAAGAATATCACCACTTTGCAGACTAGCCTGTGCTTAAAAGCCGGATATACACAATAGGCAACTCAGCGAGGTCACCAAACAAACAGAATGAAAGTAAATCCATGAAGAAAAACACAATAAATTAGCATAGAAATGAACACCACCACTCAGAAACTGATAGACATTTTTGTATCCGAACATAACTTAACATATCGATGGCTTTAAGCTAGTTAACCCTTTGAAAACCAAAGTCAGATTCAGGCACCATCCACAAAATAGTTCAATTTATAGCACTATTCCAGAAAAAATATTGTGAAAAAATGCAAATGTGTATTTGAGGATTGTATTGTTTTATTAAACTGCTTTAAGTTCCATTTATAGCACTATTCCAGAAAAAATGCCAATGTGTATTTGAGGATTGTAAATTTTGTTTTATTAAACTGCTCTAGGATTACCATTTTCAGTTCTTGATAAATCATAGATTACAGTACCAAACAACAATACAGTATTTGCTCTATTAGCAGCGCATCTCAAAAACCACAATTGTATGTTGTACATGTATATACAGTATTGGCAGAACATATAAAATAGCACATTGAGTAATGGCAAAAAAACTGCATCAGCAAGCGATGATTCAGGGTTTTTCTAGAAAAAAACTGCAAGAGGAAGCACTGCATTTCAGCGGCCCCACCAAGTGGGGGATAGGGTTCTCTCCACCAGGGTGTTGAGTTTGGGTTCTCCCTACCAGGGTGTAGAGTTTTTGATAATTGTAAGTTAAAATGGAGCATTCTATGGCTTCCTTGGGGCCAAAATTACTATCAGACAGGTCACAGTTGAAGACTGTGGCCACATGTGATCCCTGGTCATTCAGAATTTTATGCTTGCCAGAGGATGAGGGGGCGCAAGGGCCATGGCATGAGGGCGCTGCACCCATGTTCCCTTGTGAGCCTAATAAAATGAATTCTGTGTTTTTGGTAACTCAGGGTTTTTTCTACAAAAAGACTGCAACAGGGAGCACTGCATTTCAGCGGCCCCACCTAGTGGGGGATATGGTTCTCCCCACCAGGGTGTTGAGTTTGGGTTCTCCCTACCAGGGTGTGAAGTTTTTGATAATTCTAAATTAAAATGGTGCATTCTATGGCTTCCTTCAGCAGTTGAAGACTGTGGCCACGTGTGATCCCTGGTCAATCAGAATTTTATGGTTGCAGAGGATCTGCTCCCCAGGGTAAGGGGGCACATGGTCATGTCATGAGGGCGCTGCGCCCCTGTTCTCTTGTTTACAAAAATCCCTCACGTTTTAAATCCTTCTAAATGTGTCTCATATTAACGAATAATTAAAATTAAATGAATAATTAAAATATGATCTATTTTTTGGGACAAAATCAGATGTTTTATCTTTATCTACTTTGGCACTGACGTAATGTTAAACATGAGAACACTTATTACCGGAACAAACATATTAATTATCAACCAAATTCTAACTATTGCCATGCACTCCCTCTTTAAGAGATGGTGCCAAAATAAATGCGACCCAAGAACGAATTTTGCTTTTTTTTTGTCCCAGCTCAAAACAACTATTAATAATGAACTACATTGTACATCTAAATTATGAAAAGGCAAGTAAGAAATGGACAGCAACATTAATTGATACGGTTGAACCCGTTTAAAGTGTTCTTCTGCAGTGTATAAAAATATTATTATTTAAGTAATGTATTAAACTGATACACATGTATGATAATAAAAAAAAAAATATGATCTATTGTCTCCATAGAAAAAAACCTGTAATGTAAAGTGAAGGTGGGGGTGGCGGTATGTGCTTCTAATAGAGCAAATACATGTACAATACTATAATTTGTCTAGTTTTCGTCAATATTACATCTTAAAAATCCAAGCAAAACAAACATTTTTGTCTCGCACACATGTTTCACATCTTCAGGAGATAAGCTGCCAATAAACCGTTTTCAGTTTACTGGGATATCCACCTTATGTGTTAAATCAAACATAAAAACAGGACAAACAAAGGTCATACTTGAGTCAAAACATTCAACAAACTCAAAAACAGTTTTTGTGTATTTTCACACTATAATAATGTGCTGTACACATTTGTAGTGATCAGTTTTGATGAAGTAAGCATATCTCAACGCAGTATTACACTCTGATTTGAACATTGATCTATACAATAAAATACTCCAGTTCAAAATCGAATCATTCCATTTTTACGACAGATGCTCAGTCCGTTCCATTCATGCAATACCTTGCGTATTTCGCAAGGTCTATTCAGCAAAAATTAATTCCAGCTAAAATAAAGTATTTTAGAGTATTTGTCAGTGGAGTGGGTATTTACAATACGCAAGATTTCACAGTGAACAGAAAACCAAGAATTAGAGCCACTGTATACATGTACATGTATGTAATAGGGGAAATCAGCCAAAAATACACGTAAAGTAAATCAAGTACAAATAAATACTGTAAAATACTTTATTTTCGCTTTGAATAAATTTTCAATGAAGGAATGATTCATTGAAAATAAAAGCCAGCGAATATACATTTTCTCCCACATTTTACATTCAATTTGTCAAAAACCAGTGAAAATACATCCAATGCAAAACACCCAAAAAGTCTTTTCAGCGGAAAATTAATTCCTGCTAAAATAAAGTATTTGACAGTGGAGTTGATACTTACAACGTTGGTGCCATGTGTGGAATGCTACTACACTGAGGGAGATTATGAGAAACATTAAGTTCACTGACTGCCAACTGATTTTTTAAAAACACGTCACAACGTGTAATTGTGCAAAGAAACAATGAAAGACACCTATACCCAAGGGTATTGTAATCCGAGTACAGGAACACAATAGGTTATTGTGTTTTGCAGAGGGTGCAAGGATTTCAAGACAAGGGGTAAGCTTTCAATGGATTTATGATTACTGTAAATTACTTTATTTTCGCTTGGAATTTATTTTTGCTATTTTCGCTTAAGGGATAATTCAGGGAAAATAAAATCCAGTGAATATACATTTTTTCCCATATTTTACACTTAAATCATCAAGAATCAGTTGAAAATAAATTCCACACAAAACACCCAAAAATTCTTTTCAGCGAAAATTAATTCCAGCTAAAATAAAGTATTTTACGGTACATGCACGACAATAAGGAAGTCTGGTAGGATTTTATACACAGGTGGGCTTACTGTGAAATGCTTTATGTTAGATACTGTAAAAGGGTTAATTATTCACCGGGTTTTAATTTTGCTTATTTCGCTGACTGGAAAATGCGCTAAATTAAAACCCAGTGAATATGTAAAAATTTAGCATAGAACACATTATCTAAATGATAAAACCGTGAAGTTAAGACCCAGTGATAATGCCTGAAATGCTAAATCAGCGAAATTTAAACCCAGTGAAAATTAGTCATTTCACAGTAATGATTTTCACTGAAAGAACTGTGTATATTGAGGAATGTGCAGTAAAAGTGAACCCTATTAGCGAAGGGGAATGACTGTAATAATATTTCGGTATTAATGGCGACAGAACAGAAACATGCAATACGCAACCAGTGATTTGAATATACAAATGTATACATTCTACATTGTACATACCAAACTTGGCTAATATACTGTAAAATGCTTTATTTTCGCTATTTTCACTGAAGGGATGTTTCCGTGAAAATAAAATCCAGCGAATATACTTTTTTTCCTATATTTCACATTAAACTCGTCAAAAATCAGTGAAAATAAATTCCACATAAAAGGCCCAAAAAGCCTTTTCAGCGAAAATTAATTCCAGCGAATATAAAGCATTCCACAGTATACTGTAAAATACTTTATTTTAGCTGGAATTAATTTTTACTGAAAGGATGTTTTCGGTGTTTTGTATGGAATTTATTTTTACTGTTATTGAGTTGAATGTGAAATATAGAAAAAAAAGGATATATCGCTGGATTTTATTTTCACTGAATCATTCCTTCAGTGAAAATAGCGTAAATTACTTCACAGCAAAAATGAAGTATTTTACAGGGGCATCGGAAACTGACTGAAATTAATTTATTAATAAATGTGATTTTGGAGAACTTTAGTTAAGGTCTGCAGGTGCTATGCTGACCAGACTTGATCACTCAATGATACTATAATAATAGAAATATAGTAACAGCCCTGTCACGTAGTCCCAGATATTAAATATGGTTTACCAGGCACAATGTATTA